TCCTCCCTGGGGGGTGATTTCTCGCTTTCTGTCTCTGTCTCTCTCTGTCTGGCGAGTGCACATGCCCTATAGCAAAAACCTCTTCCAATAAATAAATAAATAAATAAATAAATAAATAAATAAAATAAAGACACATTTGGTAGTGTGTTAACTATACAAAAAAAGACACTGTACAGTTTAAAAAATCTTTTTTTTAACTTACTATTTATTTATTCATTCATTTATTTTTATTTGACCAGAGAGAGACAGAAACAGAGAGAGAGAGGGAAAGTGAGAAGGCAAGCCACTAGGTCCGGGACTCGAACTGTGGTCGGCCATGTGGGAGTATCCAGCACCTTAACCACCACGTCATCTGCTAGTCTCCTAAAAACAAATCTTACACAGCCTTGCATTTCAATTTTTTTCTTTAAAAGGAATGAGTTGTGTACAGGTTAAATGCTTTACAGATAAGGAAAAAAAACTGCACTAGAACCAACTTATTCATCATCATCTTCATCTTCATCCTCTTCCTCATCTTCTTCATCTTCCTTGTCTTCCTCCTCTTCCTTGTTTCTCTTGTTTTCAGCCTTGACAACTCCCTTTTTTGCTGCATCAGGCTTTCCTTTAGCTCGGTATGCAGCAATATCCTTTTCGTATTTTTCCTTCAGCTTAGCAGCCTTCTTTTCATAAGGCTGTTTGTCATCTGCAGCAGTGTTATTCCATATCTCTCCCAGTTTCTTTGCAACGTCACCATTGGATAGGCCAGGATGTTCTCCTTTGATTTTTGAGCGATATTCAGAACAGAACAAGAAAAAGGCCGAAGGAGGCCTCTTGGGTGCATTGGGATCCTTGAACTTCTTTTTCATTTCCCCTTTAGGAGGGATATAGGTTTTCATTTCTCTTTCATAGCGGGCCTTGTCCACCTTTGCCACATCTTCAAACTTTCTTTTCAGCAGACATGGTCTTCCACCTCCCTGAGCACTTCTTAGAAAATTCTGGGAAGTTGGGACCAGCAGTTAGCATAATGGCTATGTCGCTGGACTCCCCATGTAGTTGACCACGGTTCACGTCCTGGACCTGGTGGCGTAAAACTCACGCCGGGTGCGTGTGCATGCGTGCCCAAGATCCCGAGAGGAGAATGGAGGAGAAGGGATTGCGGCATGGCCATCCCTCCTGGGGGTGATTTCTCGCTTTCTATTTCTCTGTCTCTCTCTGTCTGGTGGCGCACGCACCCTATAGCCAAAAAAAATAAAAAAAAAAAGAAAGAAAGAAAGAAAACTCTGGGAAGTTGACTGAAGCATCTGGGTGCTTCTTCTTGTGCTCCTCCTGGCAAGTTTGCACAAAGAATGCATAGGATGACATTTTGCCCTTCAGCTTCTTAGGATCTCCTTTGCCCATGTTTAGTTTTCTTTCCTCCACGAAGCACAGAGTCACCCAGTGCCTGTTCAGCTTTGACTTGCCCCGGCACTGTGTCTGTGGAGTCCAATGTACTGAAATGACTGTGAGAACGGGAACCAGATGCAGCCTCCTGTTCTTTTTTTAAAGAGAATTTTGCTTGCTCTCAGGTATGTGCACTTGCCAGAGAAATAGAGACAGAAACAAGAAATCACCCTCCGGGGGGATGGCCACGCCACAGTCTCTTCTTCTGCACATACACATGCCGGGCTTGAATTTTAAGCCACCAGGTCTCGGACTTGAACCATGTTTGACTATGTGGTAGTCTAGTGACATAGCCATTATACCACCTGCTGGTCCTGCCAGCATGTTTTTCAAGCTACCAAGTCCAGGACTTGAACTGCCCTTGACCATGTGGAGTCCAGCTGCTTTAACCACTATCCCACTGGGTGGCCCAAGAAATAAACTTTATAAAGAAAAAGCAGGGACCAGCAGATGGCCTAATGGTTATGTCACTGGAGTCCTACATAGTCAACTGCAATTTGAGTCCCAGACCCAGAGACTTAAAACTCACACCGGGCATATGTGCATTTGTGCCCAAAATTCCAAGAGGAGAATGGAGGAGAAGGGATTGCAGTGTGGTCATCCCCCCCTCAGGGGGTGATTTCTCGTTTTCTGTCTCTCTCTGAGCACACATGTCTTATAGCAAAAATCTCTCTCTCTGAAAAAAAAAAAGGAAGAAAAAGCAAAGCAAATGCTGAAGCTCTGTCTTCTTTTTTCCAGGTGTGCCAAAGATAAAGTTGCTGTGTGGGGCAGATTTATTAGAGTCCTTTGGTGTTCCCAACTTGTGGAAGAGTGAGGATATCACCCACATCGTGGCCGACTATGGGCTTATATGTATTACTCGGACTGGAAACGATGCTCAGAAGTTCATCTATGAATCCGATGTACTGTGGAAATACCGGAACAACATTCACTTGGTGAATGAATGGATCACTAACGACATCTCATCCACGAAGATCCGGAGAGCCCTCATAAGGGGCCAGAGCATTCGCTACTTGGTACCGGATCTTGTCCGAGAATATATTGAAGACCATAATTTATATAGCTCCGAGAGTGAAGACAGAAATGTTGGGGTTATCTTGGCTCCTTTGCAGAAAAACACTGCAAAGCTAAGTCCTAGAAATTCTACAGCATGATATTTTGAACTTCTTTTTTGGGGGTTTGAAACAATCTGGGTGGTTAATAACTGGAGAAAGGAGTTGTGATCCTGTTTCTTAAGTTAAAAATCAGTGGTAAATTAAAATCAGGTTTGCTTTTTTTGTGTTTTTGTTTTTTTGGGGTTTTTTTGAGAGGTTTTTGCTATAGGGCACGTGCGCTTCCCAGAAAGACACACAGAGACAGAGAGACAGAAAGCGAGAAATCACCCCCAGAGGGGATAGTCACGCCACAGTCCCTTCTCCTCCATTCTCCTCTCGGGATCTTGGGCACGCACGCACACACGCCCGGAGTGAGTTTAAGCCACTGGGTCTGGGACTCAAACCGCGGTCAACTACATGGGAATCCAGCGACATAGCCATTATGCCAACTGCTGGTCCCATTTTTGTGGAGGTTTTTTTTTTGGTGTGTGTGTTTTCTTTTTAAATCAGAAGTTGCTAAGATGAATGCTTTTAGTGTAGTCCTTTATTTTTTTAAACATTTTTTGAGAGAGAAGGGGATAGTGATAGAGCAGATATTTTTGACAGGGTTTCATCATGCTGCAGTCCTCCAGCCCTGTCTCCCAGCTAGCTAGGATTGCAGGTGTATGCCCCTGGGCCCAGCGTGTCTGGGTTGGTCCAGGATCAAATCTGGGCCTGCTGTACTCCCCACCTGTGCCATCATAGCTAGGCCAGCGTCCTTTATCTTTAAAACAAGAAATTAGCAGCGTGCTAATACTGGAAGAATTTTCAGTGAGACTGACTACAAATAAGAAGTTAAAAAGGATATTCTGGCTATACTACACAGGAGAAGCAAAATGTGAAAAACATTTAAGACCCTAAACTTCGTTATGAAAGGGAACTGATGTTTTATGCACACCTGTTGCTAAGATGTTTTCACCCAGGATGAACAAAGGAAGCCATTCTTGAAATACTGATCTTGGAAAGGGCGTCACTAGTCAGATATCTCCAGCTGTGCAAAATAAAGGCAGTGCATATGCCTGCTATTAACCAGTGGTTAGTCCTCTCTGGCACACAGCGGAATAGCTGATCAAGCCTTGTGAAGACACACCTGCTTGGAGCTGCACCTTGGAGGTAGGGAGGGGTCCTAAGCCTTCTCATGTTTAGGAGGTGCACAGATATGTCTGGTGACCCCCAGAGATGGAGAGCTGCTGCTTTACACGCTGTACACATACATTCTCTTAGCGCAGCCTTGGTGTGGATCCTGTGTTTTTGTTTTTTTTTTCAATATTGCCAAAGGAGAAGAAGAGAAAGCAACCTCCAAGGGGGATGGTCACCACCATAGTCCTTTCTCTTCTGTTTCCTCTCTTGGGATTTTGGGCATGCACGTGCACGTACCCAGTGTCTTTTTCTTTTTCTTTTTTTCTTTCTTTTTGGAAAGGTTTTTTTCACTGTAGGGCACGTGCGTTCGCCAGACAGACAGAGAGAGACATAGAGCAGAAAGCGAGAAATCACCCCCCAGGGTGATGGTCACACTGCAATCCCTTCTCCTCCATTCTCCTCTCGGGATCTTGGGCACGCACGCACACGCGCCTGGCGTTGAGTTTTAAGCCACCGGGTCTGGGATGTGAACCGCGATCAACTACGTGGGAGTCCAGCGACATAGCCATTACGCTAACTGCTGGTTCCCCCCAGTGTGTTTTTCAAGCTGCTAGATCTGGGACTTAAACTGAGAAGTTGAAGGGGAGGGGTGGTGGTGCTGGGGGACAGTAGATGGTGCCATGGTTAAGGCGCTGGACACTCCCACATGGCCTATCACAGTTTGAGTTCTGAACCTGGTGGCTTGCTTTCTCACTTTCCTTCTCTCTGTGTGTCTTTCTCTGGTCAAATGAAAATGATTGAATGAATAAATCAAATTAAATAAATAATTCTTTTATAAAAATAAGTAAAATCTGAGTAGTCAGCCCTGTGGGATCCAGCCACCTTAACTACCATGATGCCAGCTGGCCCATCATTCCATGATCCTTTTTTTTTTTTAAGAATTATTTTATTTAACTTTATTCATGAGAGAGAGAGGGAAAGTGAGAAGGCAAGCCACTAGGTCCGGGACTCGAACTGTGGTCGGCCATGTGGGAGTATCCAGCACCTTAACCACCACGTCATCTGCTAGTCTCCTAAAAACAAATCTTACACAGCCTTGCATTTCAATTTTTTTCTTTAAAAGGAATGAGTTGTGTACAGGTTAAATGCTTTACAGATAAGGAAAAAAAACTGCACTAGAACCAACTTATTCATCATCATCTTCATCTTCATCCTCTTCCTCATCTTCTTCATCTTCCTTGTCTTCCTCCTCTTCCTTGTTTCTCTTGTTTTCAGCCTTGACAACTCCCTTTTTTGCTGCATCAGGCTTTCCTTTAGCTCGGTATGCAGCAATATCCTTTTCGTATTTTTCCTTCAGCTTAGCAGCCTTCTTTTCATAAGGCTGTTTGTCATCTGCAGCAGTGTTATTCCATATCTCTCCCAGTTTCTTTGCAACGTCACCATTGGATAGGCCAGGATGTTCTCCTTTGATTTTTGAGCGATATTCAGAACAGAACAAGAAAAAGGCCGAAGGAGGCCTCTTGGGTGCATTGGGATCCTTGAACTTCTTTTTCATTTCCCCTTTAGGAGGGATATAGGTTTTCATTTCTCTTTCATAGCGGGCCTTGTCCACCTTTGCCACATCTTCAAACTTTCTTTTCAGCAGACATGGTCTTCCACCTCCCTGAGCACTTCTTAGAAAATTCTGGGAAGTTGGGACCAGCAGTTAGCATAATGGCTATGTCGCTGGACTCCCCATGTAGTTGACCACGGTTCACGTCCTGGACCTGGTGGCGTAAAACTCACGCCGGGTGTGTGTGCATGCGTGCCCAAGATCCCGAGAGGAGAATGGAGGAGAAGGGATTGCGGCATGGCCATCCCTCCTGGGGGTGATTTCTCGCTTTCTATTTCTCTGTCTCTCTCTGTCTGGTGGCGCACGCACCCTATAGCCAAAAAAAATAAAAAAAAAAAGAAAGAAAGAAAGAAAACTCTGGGAAGTTGACTGAAGCATCTGGGTGCTTCTTCTTGTGCTCCTCCTGGCAAGTTTGCACAAAGAATGCATAGGATGACATTTTGCCCTTCAGCTTCTTAGGATCTCCTTTGCCCATGTTTAGTTTTCTTTCCTCCACGAAGCACAGAGTCACCCAGTGCCTGTTCAGCTTTGACTTGCCCCGGCACTGTGTCTGTGGAGTCCAATGTACTGAAATGACTGTGAGAACGGGAACCAGATGCAGCCTCCTGTTCTTTTTTTAAAGAGAATTTTGCTTGCTCTCAGGTATGTGCACTTGCCAGAGAAATAGAGACAGAAACAAGAAATCACCCTCCGGGGGGATGGCCACGCCACAGTCTCTTCTTCTGCACATACACATGCCGGGCTTGAATTTTAAGCCACCAGGTCTCGGACTTGAACCATGTTTGACTATGTGGTAGTCTAGTGACATAGCCATTATACCACCTGCTGGTCCTGCCAGCATGTTTTTCAAGCTACCAAGTCCAGGACTTGAACTGCCCTTGACCATGTGGAGTCCAGCTGCTTTAACCACTATCCCACTGGGTGGCCCAAGAAATAAACTTTATAAAGAAAAAGCAGGGACCAGCAGATGGCCTAATGGTTATGTCACTGGAGTCCTACATAGTCAACTGCAATTTGAGTCCCAGACCCAGAGACTTAAAACTCACACCGGGCATATGTGCATTTGTGCCCAAAATTCCAAGAGGAGAATGGAGGAGAAGGGATTGCAGTGTGGTCATCCCCCCCTCAGGGGGTGATTTCTCGTTTTCTGTCTCTCTCTGAGCACACATGTCTTATAGCAAAAATCTCTCTCTCTGAAAAAAAAAAAGGAAGAAAAAGCAAAGCAAATGCTGAAGCTCTGTCTTCTTTTTTCCAGGTGTGCCAAAGATAAAGTTGCTGTGTGGGGCAGATTTATTAGAGTCCTTTGGTGTTCCCAACTTGTGGAAGAGTGAGGATATCACCCACATCGTGGCCGACTATGGGCTTATATGTATTACTCGGACTGGAAACGATGCTCAGAAGTTCATCTATGAATCCGATGTACTGTGGAAATACCGGAACAACATTCACTTGGTGAATGAATGGATCACTAACGACATCTCATCCACGAAGATCCGGAGAGCCCTCATAAGGGGCCAGAGCATTCGCTACTTGGTACCGGATCTTGTCCGAGAATATATTGAAGACCATAATTTATATAGCTCCGAGAGTGAAGACAGAAATGTTGGGGTTATCTTGGCTCCTTTGCAGAAAAACACTGCAAAGCTAAGTCCTAGAAATTCTACAGCATGATATTTTGAACTTCTTTTTTGGGGGTTTGAAACAATCTGGGTGGTTAATAACTGGAGAAAGGAGTTGTGATCCTGTTTCTTAAGTTAAAAATCAGTGGTAAATTAAAATCAGGTTTGCTTTTTTTGTGTTTTTGTTTTTTTGGGGTTTTTTTGAGAGGTTTTTGCTATAGGGCACGTGCGCTTCCCAGAAAGACACACAGAGACAGAGAGACAGAAAGCGAGAAATCACCCCCAGAGGGGATAATCACGCCACAGTCCCTTCTCCTCCATTCTCCTCTCGGGATCTTGGGCACGCACGCACACACGCCCGGAGTGAGTTTAAGCCACTGGGTCTGGGACTCAAACCGCGGTCAACTACATGGGAATCCAGCGACATAGCCATTATGCCAACTGCTGGTCCCATTTTTGTGGAGGTTTTTTTTTTGGTGTGTGTGTTTTCTTTTTAAATCAGAAGTTGCTAAGATGAATGCTTTTAGTGTAGTCCTTTATTTTTTTAAACATTTTTTGAGAGAGAAGGGGATAGTGATAGAGCAGATATTTTTGACAGGGTTTCATCATGCTGCAGTCCTCCAGCCCTGTCTCCCAGCTAGCTAGGATTGCAGGTGTATGCCCCTGGGCCCAGCGTGTCTGGGTTGGTCCAGGATCAAATCTGGGCCTGCTGTACTCCCCACCTGTGCCATCATAGCTAGGCCAGCGTCCTTTATCTTTAAAACAAGAAATTAGCAGCGTGCTAATACTGGAAGAATTTTCAGTGAGACTGACTACAAATAAGAAGTTAAAAAGGATATTCTGGCTATACTACACAGGAGAAGCAAAATGTGAAAAACATTTAAGACCCTAAACTTCGTTATGAAAGGGAACTGATGTTTTATGCACACCTGTTGCTAAGATGTTTTCACCCAGGATGAACAAAGGAAGCCATTCTTGAAATACTGATCTTGGAAAGGGCGTCACTAGTCAGATATCTCCAGCTGTGCAAAATAAAGGCAGTGCATATGCCTGCTATTAACCAGTGGTTAGTCCTCTCTGGCACACAGCGGAATAGCTGATCAAGCCTTGTGAAGACACACCTGCTTGGAGCTGCACCTTGGAGGTAGGGAGGGGTCCTAAGCCTTCTCATGTTTAGGAGGTGCACAGATATGTCTGGTGACCCCCAGAGATGGAGAGCTGCTGCTTTACACGCTGTACACATACATTCTCTTAGCGCAGCCTTGGTGTGGATCCTGTGTTTTTGTTTTTTTTTTCAATATTGCCAAAGGAGAAGAAGAGAAAGCAACCTCCAAGGGGGATGGTCACCACCATAGTCCTTTCTCTTCTGTTTCCTCTCTTGGGATTTTGGGCATGCACGTGCACGTACCCAGTGTCTTTTTCTTTTTCTTTTTTTCTTTCTTTTTGGAAAGGTTTTTTTCACTGTAGGGCACGTGCGTTCGCCAGACAGACAGAGAGAGACATAGAGCAGAAAGCGAGAAATCACCCCCCAGGGTGATGGTCACACTGCAATCCCTTCTCCTCCATTCTCCTCTCGGGATCTTGGGCACGCACGCACACGCGCCTGGCGTTGAGTTTTAAGCCACCGGGTCTGGGATGTGAACTGCGATCAACTACGTGTGAGTCCAGCGACATAGCCATTACGCTAACTGCTGGTTCCCCCCAGTGTGTTTTTCAAGCTGCTAGATCTGGGACTTAAACTGAGAAGTTGAAGGGGAGGGGTGGTGGTGCTGGGGGACAGTAGATGGTGCCATGGTTAAGGCGCTGGACACTCCCACATGGCCTATCACAGTTTGAGTTCTGAACCTGGTGGCTTGCTTTCTCACTTTCCTTCTCTCTGTGTGTCTTTCTCTGGTCAAATGAAAATGATTGAATGAATAAATCAAATTAAATAAATAATTCTTTTATAAAAATAAGTAAAATCTGAGTAGTCAGCCCTGTGGGATCCAGCCACCTTAACTACCATGATGCCAGCTGGCCCATCATTCCATGATCCTTTTTTTTTTTTAAGAATTATTTTATTTAACTTTATTCATTTATTTAATTTGACCAGAAAGAAAGAGAGTGAGAGAGAGAGAGAAAGTGAGAAGGCAAGCTGACAGGTCCAGGACCCGAACCATTGTCGGCCATGTGAGAGTCCAGAACCTTTAACTACCACACCACCTGCCAGCCCTATCCTCTTTTTTTTTTTTTTAAACGAGTAATCACCCACCCAGGGTGGATGGCCACACTGAAATCCCATCTCTTCTAGTTTCTCTGGACTTTTTTTTTTTTCACCTTAGGGTACATGCACTTGTCAGAGACAGAGGAGGAAAGTGAGCAATCACCCCTCAGGGGGATGGCCACACCACAATCCCTTCTTCTCTGTTCTCCTCTCAGTATTTTGGGCATGCACACACACACTCCCCATGTGAGTTTCAAGACACCAGGTCCAGGGCTTGAACCGTGGTCAGCCATGTGGGAGTCTAGCACTTTAACCACCACAACATCTGCTGGCCCCACCATCTTGGGACTTCGGGCACGCATGCATACACACATGGCATGATCCTCTCAAGCTTCCAGATCCGGGACTGGAACTGCACAGTCAGCCATGTGGAATCCAGCACCCCACCTTCCAAACTAGCTACTGACCACATCTGTGATCTTTATTTTTTTATCTGTGATCTTTTTCATCTTCTGAAAAAACTTCAGAGATGATGTCATACCACCTTGAACAAAGAGAACTTCGGAGAACAAGGGGGTCTTGTTCAAGAATTTTATAAGTACGAATGCTCATGGCCTTTCTTGGTCATTTAATAGTGAAAAGATGAGTGGAAACCTTAAGAACATAAAAAAATGCTACTCTAGGTCAACCCAGAACTTCCTCCAGCCTGGAATTTGGGGCTTGGATGAATGTCTTGTGGAAGAAAAAGCCATTATCTCAGTCTAAAGCTTTGTGGTTTTCTGAAGAGCCCTGTTGTTTCTGTCCCAGCCCACTGCGAACCTGCTATCTTTGAATTTAAGCATAAAATATATGTCAGATTTTTATTCTTTTTCCCTTATTCTTTCATATAAAGTCCAACCAAAGCAGAATTCACATAATAATTAAAGTCGCAGCTTTATGTTAAAAGCAAAATCTAGTTATGTGGTTTGATACTGATTAAAATGTTGTAGAAATTTGCCTCCACGTGTTCATAAAGCAAAAAAGATCAGAAACAGTTCTGTATAGAATTATTTTATGGTTATTTTTTGTTTGTTTGGTTTGGTTTTTTTGGAGAGGTTTTCACTATAGGGCGTGTGCGCTTGCCAGACAGAGAGACATAGAGACAGCGAGAAATCACCCCCCAGGGGGGATGGTCACGCCGCAATCCCTTCTCCTCCATTCTCCTCTCGGGATCTTGGGCACGCACGCACACGCGCCTGGCGTGAGTTTTAAGCCACCAGATCCGGGACGCGAACCGCGGTCGACTACGTGGGAGTCCGGCGACATAGCCATTACGCTAACTGCTGGTTCCCATAGAATTATTTTATGGTTTTTGACAATTGTTCTATTGTAGAAACAGGACTAAAATATTTCTTTCTTTTATTAGTTTGCTATAGGGCTTGTGTTTTTCATAACCTTTACAATTTTATTTTGTTAAAGGCATGTACACTCACTGAGGAGAGAGGAAGAGAGGAAGTGAAAAGGCACTTCCTCAAGGTGGATGGCCACACCACAGTCCCTTGTCCTCCATTCTCCTCATGAGATTTTAGGCATTCATGCACACGTGCTCAGCGTGTTTCCAAACCTCTGGGTTCAGGACTCAAACCACACAGTTGACCACATGGTACTCAGCTACCTTAACCACCATACCACGTGGCTGGCCCCAGAATGGAAATACTTCTAATGAAAATAGAGTAACTATCTTTTGTAATTTATGTTTTATACCTATACCATTTCAGATGAAGAATTTATAACTTTGCAGAAGGGAAAAAAAAAACACTTAAAATTGTGCAATTGTATAGTCAGAGATTAATCCACAGTTCGAAAAAGGAAAATGTGAAAATGTTAATGCAGATGTATATTCTACAGCTCCCAGCTTGTTCTTTCTAAAACCTCAGGCCAGCTTCTCAAGGACAGGGAGGGGTGGAAAGCCTGACACACGAGTTCCAGGGTATCTATCTGTTGAATAAATGAAACGTTAGAATCTCAAATCATAAAAATAGTCATTTTTCCCCCTTAGCTTTTTAATTATTTTTTCCTTAGATTTTTCATAAGATGAATTGCTTCCTGGAGAGAGACAGAGAGAAGACAAGTGAAAAATCACTCCCTAGGGGAAAGCTCATGCCACAATTCCTTCTCTGCCATTTTTCTCTCTGGATTTGGGACACACATGAACACACACCCAGTGTAATTTTCAGGCCGCTGGGTCTAGGACTTGAACCATGGTTGGCGATGTGGGAGTCCAGTGCCTTCACCACCACGCCACCTGTTGGCTCCAGCTTTCTGGATTTTTTCTGAGGGAGTAGATATTTTTGCTATAGGGTGCGTGCACTCACTGGAGAGACAGAGACAGACACAAAGTGAGAAATCATCACCCATGGGGGATGGCCATGCCACGATCCCTTCTCCAATCTCCTCTTAGAATTTTGGGCATACACAAACACTCGCCTAGCGTGAGCTTTTAGCCGCCAGATCCAGGACTTAAACCACAGTCAACTACATGGCAGTCCAGCTATGTAACCATTACACCATCTGTCAGTTCCTGGCTTTCCAGATTTTAACAATTGAAATGGCACTGAAAAATAATGATCTGGACACCGATGAGGCCATCACAACTGAACTTTGATTTCATCGTCCGAAAAACTATACTTAGTCCATCTGAAGTGTTTGCAGAGTGCAGAACGGTTCTAGTGCTGGACTTCCCTATACTGTAGTGCCTTTCTACCCAGAAGTGCCCAGATCTTGCTCGGTCGTGACCGCATTGACCTCAGGACCCTCTGGGTGAGGCACGTGGAGATCCTCTCAGGAGTCTGGGGACTGAGAAACGATCCTATTGTTACACTATTTATGGATCAACAACTTTGTACATAGAGTCAGCTGCTTGGCCGTTTGTCCCAGTACCAGAGATGCTGCTAATGCCCAGCATAATAGCATAATTTTGGAAGTTCTCACGGACAGAACTTCCTCTTTGGATAATGGAAATCAGAACAATGAATTTCTCAAGGGAATAATATTAATGTCTGTAATGACTTTCTGTAAAGAAGAAAATATGCCATTGTTTGTTTTCTCCCACATCTTTTGCATAATTTGCTTTTCGTAATGTGTATTTATTTAGTGATCAGGACATATGTGATGGTGATTTTTTTTTCTTGAGAGATTTTTACTGTAGGCCATGTGCACTCACTGGACAGAGACAGAAAGCAAGAAATCACCCCCCAAGGGGAATGGCCTCACTACAATCCGTCCTGTCTCTCAGAATTTGGGGCACGCACACACATGTGCCCAGTGTGTTCCAAGCTCTCAGGTCCAGGACTCAAACTGCCGTTATCTGTATGGGAGTCTAGTGCCTTAGCCACGACGCCACCTGCTGGTCCCATGGTGATATTTTGGTTTGTTTTGTTTTGTTTCATTTGATGCTGGTGGTTTTATGTGTTGTACTCTTTACCCCTTACATTGTATACTTTGAATGCAGCAAATGAACTTGCAGCGAAGTCACTTCCTGACATCCTCATTCAGGTGTGCACAGAGCATGTGGGGAGCCTCGTTCCCCTGTGTGAGCAGCACGCCTCTTAGGTAAGGGGAGTGGCTTCTCTTTCATTATGAAGGTGTAGAGATTGTGGACAAGGGATGATTTAGTTCATTTCTTCTTTTAAAAGAATTATTTAATTTTATTAATCATTGTTATTTTTAAATTTTACCAAAGAGAGAAAGTGAGAAAGCAAGCTGCCAGGTCTAGGACTCAAACCACCATTGGCCATGTGGGAGTCCAGTGCCTTAACCACCACTCTACCTACCAACCTCTAATTTCTTTATGTCAAAAGATGCTCTCTCAGGACCGGTAGTTGGCATGGTGGTTAAGGGCGCTGGACTCCCACATGGCCAACCATGGTTCAAGTCCCAGACCTGGCGGCTTGCTATCTCCC